TCAGATTCTTCATCATATGCATAGCATATACTTGTTTACATGCTCTTGAGATTAAATTGGGCTCAAGCAGGAAAATTAGTTTAACATCCTTGGTTTAGACTTTTTACGGCAAAAAAGCTCTGATTCGTCTAGTATACGATTATACTAAGTAGCATCCATTTGTGGGTAGATTTACCGTCTTTATGGGATGGTTTCCCCCCGACGGGAAGAACTGATCAATATTATAATAACATTATTCCAGTCACCAGAAAAACAGTTATTGTATCTGACTTACTTCAGCGTCTGAGCGAGGTGGAATTCCAACAACGCAAAAAGTAACTCCATTCATTGGCGTGTCAGCGTCTGGCGTGCGTAAACCGACAAAAAGACATACTCTGCTGTCAACATTTTTGTCTTAAATCGTGCTGGAGTGTAGAGCAGACTGGCTGTGCTCTTCTCTCCAGCAGTCCACAACGTAAACAGTTCAGCTAAAAGCATGTGGCACAGCACAACCGGAAGTTGGAACTTCAAAATAAATATGGGTACATGTTTACGCATTTTCTTCAAATGTACTTTTGCGTTTCAGGCATTGCATATAGGAAGACGATTCTTATCAGAAATAATACGCTTTACTTAAATAAAACATTTTATTTAAAATCTAGTAGAACCACTAACATTTTTAATATTGCTCAACATTATTGCTCAACATAAACCTTAGTGGGCAATTACAGATGACAGTTCAAACTGCATCCTACTGGATTTATGTGCGTCAAATGTCAATGGTATCAATTCCGTCATCCTCCAAGAACTGCGTGGAGTTCGTGAATAGCTTAATTTCTTGAAGAAAGGTAGGATTTATTGTAAAGCAATGTGTCTTAATTAAATGCTACTTTCAGAGCCGCTCCATTTATTATTTATTATTTTTATTATTTTGGTAAATTAATTGCTTTTTTGAGGGCCTTAACATGCTCACAAACTCAGACACAGTCTAGTATTTTACTATTTATTTATGTATTTTATTGGTTTTGGACATAATGGCTCAGTAGCACCCTCTACAAAAGTGAAAAAACTGCCCCAACTGGGTGTCATGCACATGTATGAAATCTGGTACATGCCAAGACAGGACTAAAAGTCCACTGGGTACATGACTCAAACCCAACAGGAAGTCAGCCATATTAAATTGAAGATGAAATTGTGGCGCTAACTTGACCATTTCCAGGAATTATTCCTTTTTGAACTCTTCTGAGGGATTTTATCCAATCAACTTCATATTTGGTCAGTCTAAACTACAGATGTGGGCCATATTCAAAATTGTGGTGCCTTTGTGTGTCCACACTGCATTTTAATCATTCACCATGAAAGTTTAATTGGTTCTTATTCACAAATACATTGCCCAATCTGGACCAAACTTCTTCACGTGTGATAAGGCTCCACCCCTGAACATATTTCAAATGCAATATTTGCCAGTGCCAGTTTCAAAGTGGTCAACCACAGCAACCTCAAATTTATCCAGGAAAGCGTTGATGAGTTGTGCTTAGAATGCATGGAAAACTGTGAGTTGTCATCAAATTAATTGCGACATTTTTCCATCAATTCATCAATTCAATTCTACCATTCTATTGTATATAGTATTTTATTTTATTTTATTCTATTGTGTACAGTTGTGTACAGTATCTTATTCTTATCCTATTCCAGTGTTTTTCTAATTTTTGCTATGTAACTTTGCACTATCCACTTTCTGCTGTAACAAAACAAATTTCCCACGTAAGTAAGTAAGTAAGTAAAACTTTATTTATATAGCACCTTTCAAGATAAAAATCACAAAGTGCTTCACAGAAGCTAAAACCTAAAAATAAAAATCAACTAAAAGCATTTTTAAAAAGATGGGTTTTTAGCTGTTTTTTTAAAAGTGACCACTGAGTCCACAGATCTCAGGCTCAAAGGGAGAGAGTTCCACAATCTGGGGGCCACAGTTCCAAAAGGTTTGTCGCCTTTTGTTTTCAGCCTCGTGTGCTGGACAGCAAGCAAGCCCTGGTCACATGACCTCAGGGACCTGCTGGGAATGTATGGATGCAAAAGTTCACTTATATATGTTGGTGCTTGTCCATGCAGAGCCCTGAAAGTCAAGGTCAAAACCTTAAACGGGATCCTGAATTTAACGGGGAGCCAGTGCAGCTGAATCAGCAGGGATGTGACATGGGAAAACTTGGAGGACTTGGTCAGAAGCTTTGCAGCAGCATTCTGAACAACTTGCAGACGATCCAAAGAGGCTTTACATAAACAAGTAAACAAAGAATTACAGTAGTCCAGACGAGATGAAACAAATGCATGAATGACAATTAGTGGGACTAATAAAGGTTATCTTATCTTATCTTATCTTATCTTATCTTATCTTATCTTATCGTATCTTATCTTATCTTATCTTATCTTATCTTATCTTATCTTATCTTATCAAGCACAAAATTGCTGTAACTCACAGACACCTTGTTGAATCTCTCCCAAACTTTACAACCTTGATGGGAGTTCCACCCTGAACCCAGGGGCAGGCTAAGCTCAAAAAGTCTTGAAACTTGTAACACCTCCATTTTGATGAAGACTTTCATTTTTTATGGCTCTGATCATTGGATATTGCAAAATAGCTCCACAGCACCACCTACAACATTTTTGAAAAGCAGCCCCTACATTAAGTTTCATCTATGAGTCTGAAATTAGGCAGCCAGATCTAAGATGTACAAAAGTCCTAAACCCAACAGGAAGTCAGTCATTTTTAATTTAATGTGCGATTTTGACAATGCTCAATGGCAACTCACCCAGACATATGGTGCGTGGACCCTCTGATTTCAACTAAAATTCGTTTCATTGAATTGTATCAGACACCTTTCTTACACTATGCTGTGTTGTGGACTCTAGTTTTAGAACTGTAAGTACTGAAGAAGTGTCTGTAACTACAGTTAGGGTAGGTACATATGTCAAGATAATGGCGTCTGCAGTGAAAAGTATATATCTGTGTGGTGTCCAAAATCATAGACAGTGTAACAACATACAGCCCCAGTTGTGCTGCTGTGCCAACAGTCCCCTTGGGACAGAGAGAAGAGCATGCACTACTTGTGCACTAACATGCTCTCAATGAGTCATTATATAAGAGCAGGACACGGAGCCCCAAGGGAGGGTGAGAGTGTAGATAGGCACTTCTACACCCTCTATTGGTGTTACATTGCTCTCGCACAAAGTCAGACACAGTATATAAAAGAACGCTAAAGAAAAATGCTTCCACAGGGAGCCTATCATACAAAGTGGCTGCCAGCCTATGCTCGAGTTACCAACATGTGAGTCCAGGATAATGAGTTGGTTTTAATGATTTAATGAAGGCAGTGCTTTGTTCAGTCGCATTTTAAATTTTAGTTTAAATTAAAGCTTTTAAATTGAAGCTCCATATGTGACATTCTGTCACATATCATGGACAGCAACAAGAGTGTGTTAATAACAATTAAACAATTAAAGTGTTAATAACACTGCTCCAGCATACATGAGATGATAACATGGTGTCACACTGAGAAATTGGATATTTTCTTGTTTATTTATTAACAAGCAAAGAGAAAAGTTATCTGTTATGATGATGAATAACACAAAATTGGCACCTTACTAATGTTACCTCTTTTTCCACAAACAGGAGTAAACACAGGAAGTCAGGTAGAGCTGGTCCTCTGCTAATTGAAAAGGTTGGTGGTTCGATCCCTGGCTGCTCCAGTCTGCATGCCAAATATCCTCAGGCAAGATACTAACCCCAAGTTGCTCTTTGATGAATCAATTGAAGTACAAATGTGTGTGAACAAAGATAGAAAAAACTGAGAAAAAGTGCTTGTATGAATGGGTGAATGAGGCAAGTTGCGTAAAGCAATAGAGCTGCTCCATTTACCATCAGGGATGTCGGACTCATTTTATTCTGTCGCCCACATACAGCCAACTTTGATCTTAAGAGGGCTGGACAGAAACTGCCCTTTCTGTCAGTGTAGACTTCTAACTAAACATTTAATCGTGCAGATATTTTAATATAAGTAAAAGAAGTGTAATTTTAACAATACATCTCAGTTTCTGTACATAAGATATTTGAGGAAAAAAGTTCTTATCATGTGGCATTGGTGCTTCTTATTGCCCTGACTGTATTTATAAAACAAGAGTTTTTAAACTATGGAAAAGAGAAATCTTTAAAGTAGATAGTGGAAAAACAGAAGTTTTTCTGTCATTTAATTGTTTATTTTTTACTTAACTACTTTTGTGTATGAATGGCATGTGGAAAAGCTGCAAAACTTTGGACATACAATTAAAAGTTTAAAATCTATGCACTCTTACACATTTTCTGAAGTCTACCAGTGGGCCACATTGGAGTCTTTGCCAGACTGATTCTGGCCCTCAGGCTTTATGTTTGATGTTAACTGATGTAAGAGGAGCAGAAGCAGAACCAGTAACAGGTAGTCTAGCATGCTAAACTCCCATTGGTCTCTTGTCAAAGACCAGAACATGCGCATTAACCACCCCCTTCAAAAAAGACAACTTTAAGCTGGGATACGGAAGTGAGATGCACTGTGGATTTGTATAGAAAAAAGGCAACCCTGCTTTTTATAGTAGTCAATTGTGGCCACAGGATGGCAGCAATGTCAAGGGTGCATGCAAAGAAATAAAAGGGATCACTTTAGATTTAATTAATATCTACTTTTAGATTTTAAAAGGCAGCCGCTACTTGTCTTGCTTGTCCTGATAAACTGTGAAACTTTGAATAATGTTAGTACTGCTAGTACTGCTGTCGTGGTCCTCCAATCCCCATTTCTGACTCGTCTCTCACTTGTTCTGTCTCTCTCTCATTCTGTTTTTTTCTTCCTCTCTCTGACTGTCTGTGTTGTGTTTGCTTTTGCACTAGCCACACCCCTGTCTTAGAGGCCGGCCATCCTCCTGCTCTACGCCTGCCAACACCTGGGCACCTGAGCTGATTATCTCACCTGTTTGTGATCTCGTGATCAGTTGCCCGCTACTTAGGCTGGAGGAAGACATCCATTCATTGCTGGATTGTTAACAAAGAGCTGTAAGTGGGATTAGTGCTACTGTATGCAAATGTTTTTCTGTTTTTGAATGTGGAGAGACTGCAACTTGCTTTCTGCTTCCTTCAGTGCAGGATAACTGGACCTGAGGTGTGAGTTACCTGAGAGTAAGAGATCTAGCAAGATAGAGGATTGCGGATCTGTCTGACTAGCACCCTTTTGTACTGCAAAGTTGTGGATCAGACTGCTTGGAGTTTATCACTAACAAGTGGAAGTTCCCAATCTGAGTCCAATCAGAAAATCATGGATATGACAAGTTCATCCTTTCTTACTTAATTACCCTCCTGTCATTTGATGCTGCTGTTTGAATTCAGTTTGACTCAGTACAGTTTCTCTATCAGCTGACACAGATCCAGATGAATATAACCACATCTGTTAATATCTGTTTCAGCTGTTCAAGGATGGATGCAGAAATGTTTTCTGCATTGACTATTCTTTTCAGATTTTACTTAAGCTCTTGATTGTATTGTTTTTCTTTCCTTTAACTATTGAATTCCTTGTTTCTACTTAATTGAGCTTATGCTTTTGTGAATTTGTTTATTTAGGTTAATGGTTGTAACACTGTAATCCTATAACTTTTCAAAGAGAACATCTTTTCAGATAAGAAGCTCAACTAATGAAAATGAAGTATCTCATGTATTGAGTCAACTGAAACAATGATTGCAATGATTTCACGGTAAGCTTACTAAAATGTTTCACAAGCCTAAATATAAATGCTCTGAGTCAAAGGAAAAATGATACATTCAAATTGTTCTTGGACATATTTGTATAGATCTTTGTTTCAGTTTGGTACACGGTGCTGACATTTCACAAGCTTTAGCATGTAGCACAAAAAAGGTCAGGAGAAAAGTATTAACAGTCCCAGTCCCATCAAGCACTATAGGTTGCATTTAGAGTACATGCTAAACAAGCGTAGTCTAAGAAACTAAAAGATGTTACGTAACAAAAACAGTAAATTTACACACGAGCTCTGGTAAATAGCCTGTATCTGTATAGCGCTTTTACAAGTCCCCCCTAGGGACCCCAAAGCGCAGTCACCATATATTCCTTTTGTTTGTGGCTCTCTTGTTGTTGGCATATTGAAATATTACCAAAGACCATGACACAGATATTTATTGAAATTCCTGTATCACATCTTCCATAACAAGAGATTAACAGCTTTGTTGATCCAAAACAAAGGCCCTAAATTTCCTTTCCAAAAGTCTGTGTGTTCATGCACATATGGGGTCAGGCTGCAGTGATAATCTGCTTTTGCTCTGAAAAGGGTTTCATCCTCACAATGGGGGGCCCTGCACAGAACCAGTATCCCACCATCCCATCATCCCCCAGTCTCTCAGCTTATGCATTTTGTGACCCTCCCAACCTGCAACTTTAGCCTATCATAAACTGAACTGATAGTATAAAAGATGGATGTAGGCACTGCAGTGTCACCCATTAGCATTTTGGCTGTTACCATGTTGTGGTTTTGGAGCTAGAGGTTAACCTCTTGAGTGCCAAAGATCTTTCTGTGGTTCCTGCTCCAGAATGAGATGCCCAAAATGAATAGAGTATTTCTCTGCAATTGCAAACTCTGTATAAACAATCTTGGTATCAAAATAAAGATTGTATGCATGAATCCTGAAGTGCTAATTTATCATCTAAGGCAAGGCTATTTAGAAAGTTAATTCTAAAAATGGGTGTGTAGAATGGACTGACACTAATTAAAGTTTGTTTAGAGCAAAGTAACAATACAATTAAGTTCACAAAAACTGAAGCACAAACATGTAGGAGAACTACAGAATACATCAAAAATGCTCCACACATGCACTCTAAAGACTGGAACAATCAGTTGATACATTACAATGTTGTTCTAACCTTCCAGGAATCTATTTGTTTAAAGTAAACACATCGTGAAATGTGCAAAAAAATGTCCCAAGGCTGATTTTATTCACACAACAATCTCTCTGGCTAAAAAGTTAAGCCAACGCTGAAGTTAAAAAAACAAAAACAAAAAAACAACACAGTTCCCAATAGGGGCCAGCAAGTCAAACTTTACAGTGTTAAAAAAAACTGGTATGAACAATGATCGATGTAAACACTTTACTTTTAGTTTATGGGCTCGTGCTCCATTCTCAATCATACTTAATAAAAATATTTTTCTATTTTGCAAATCTTGGTCATACTATCCCATATGGAAAAGAAATATGAAAAACTTATAAAAGACTTGCATAAGATGTGGCCTACTTCATATAGTGAATCATATAAGGCTTATGTGATTTACTCAGGAAAGTTGCCACTTTCTCATTACTTTCATATATTGTTTTAGTAAGTATCCAAGAAATACAAGTTTCATTTATATAATTTTCAAGGGATTTTATATCTGTTTTCACTCTTGTATGCTTTTCATACAAGTTTCACACAAGACAGATACAAACTTTATAAGATTTATATATATCTTTTCCATATGGGATGTTTCAAAATGGAAATGACATGCTAATTTGCTAACAGTTTTTAAAAGTGTGCAGTATCAGACCCGTCCCTCTTTTTACACCCGTTTTTGCAGCCAAGACGGGAGCAATGGAAATGCTTTGAGGCTTCATATTGGTGCTTCAGAAACAAACACATGATATCACAGTGCCAACTTCCATCTCATATATTTATATATCTATGAGTCTATGGGTACAAAAACCAGCTTTGACCTCTGTGGAGAGTTCCCCTCTAATTAAATTACATTTTCCCCTTAAGGTTCAAAGCTAAGGGCTCACAGTTAGCCTCATGTATACTAATTTAATAGTGTTTGTGGTATTGGTGCTTTTTGGAGCACTGCTATCATGATATGTTCTCGTATGGACTGTCCAAGAAGCTTGTGCTTCAGCTTTAGTGACTAAAACTTTATTATTTTATTAATCTTTTACTTGGCACTAATTAGCAGATACAGCTCACAGCTGTGTGAGCTTCACCCTTTTATCCAAATTTGATCACTTCTGGCTCTACAGGACAACACAGAAAATGCAAATGTGTAAGCTTAAACTGAAAAGAAAGAAAGAACAAAGACGGATTAGAGCAAAGAACGAATACTATTAATATCATTCTCAGAATAAAAAACATTTTGACAGCTCAGTAGAGACAAAGTACAAAGCTGAGGAACGTTTGGTTGTCACAGTCTCTTTGTCCTCACTGCTTGACTCACCACTCTCTCTCTCTAAAGTGCTCTACCTCCTCTCTGTCTTTCTCTGTGTGTGTGTGCGGTTTGGTTGTAGTGCAGAAATGGGACCCTGCCTGGCTTCCCATCTTCTCCCTACAAAATGAAGAAATGCTCCTAATTCTGATGTCCTCGTTTGTTGCCGCTTCTAAAGGCGGTGGCAGACCTTCAGTCTTTGCTGGATGGTTGAATCACTTGAAGTTTGGCTCCTCCTCGTAGGGTGTGGCCATATCATACTGTTCACGGTAATACCGGTATAATGTTAGGCAATGATAAGAAAATGAAATATTGCTTTAGAGTATGGGTAGAACGCACATGCGCAGTGCCTTTGGCCGAAAAAGCATGGCGGCGATGGAGAATAAGCGACAGTGGATCGTTGAATGAAACAGATGAACCAGAACTGGTTTGTAAAAATGGCACAACTTCAGTGGTGTGGAACTGGTTTGGCTTTTGTCCATCAGATGCACACCAAAGCACATTTTTTAGTAAAGCATGCTAGCGGGCCGTCGTTATTACCGCCTTTTTCAGAAAATAAGTCGCTCTTAAAATCCTTTGATTTTCTGAAAAATCGACAGTGCCCCTTATAATTCTTCTATATGAATTCTGGTTGTGCTTACTGACCTCGAACCAATTTTATGTGGTACACGGCACTCAAAAATCTGTCAAAAAATGTTTTAGTACGACTTTGCTAAGCTACGAAGCCGCACCGGATTGTCGGAGCATTACGGCTAGTCGGGAGCCTCGCGGAGTGATACGTACTGTGCTTCAACATAATATTACCGTATTGTGTGTCTATAACCTTTTTTTTTTTAAGTTTTGTGGATATTATACATGGTTATGCTGAGGATATGTTGTCTGTGGAAACTGGAACCATCACAACTGTTGATCTTTTATATAGCACCTGCTAAACTGCTTAACTACCCCCCACTGACCAGATCAATATTCCAAAATGTTTAATTGACTTGATGCTATACTCTGGTAAAAGTATTTATTTTTTTGAGCAGTGTTGTATTTTCAAATTAATATGAAGAAAAAGGAAAAACTGCTCATGTTGCATGATAAATGTGGCACAGTCTTTCTTAGTTTTAGTGTTGTCTGTCACTTCAGTAAAACACTGTAAAACCATAAAGCTTCAATGAAACTAAACAAGTGTTTTTGAAAAAAAGTAAAATGAGAAAGATGAATAGGGGAGTAGAAGTAATCTTTTGAAATTAAAGAGACATTTATCTGCCTGTGTTCACTTGTGTTCAGTCATGTTGTGGCCTGGCACGGCAACAGAGAGGCGGTGAGTGTGGAGGTTGGTAGGTTTGGTTGGTTAGGTGGTGGTGGGGGGGCTCAAACCCATCTGTCTATTTACAGCAGCATGAAGAGATTTCGCTAAATACCTAATCCATCTTATCTCCAGTGAAGCTGAGGATTGTCTGTGCAGTGGGGCAGGCTGACCACTAGAGAGCAAGCTGACTGTAAGCTGAAGGCAAATTAGAAGTTAGGTTGGGCAAATGAGGAACTTTTGTACGTGAACTATTTCTCCCATGTTTACAAATGCCATATGAACAGTCATCATACCGATAGTAGTTTTCGATTTAAAAACACACATCTCTATCCAGGTTCATTGGTGGTCCCTGTGTAATCTCATGCAATCTGAATACATTAGAACTACTATCTTCAGAGAAAACTCTGCTTCATAGGACAATCCCCTCCCATCAGTGTCATCAGTGTCATTGCCCTGCAGCTATAGAAAGGCCATGCACTTGCATTACTTGAATTATATGTATTCTACAAAGTGGACAGCCAATGAAGATCACTGAAGATAAGCTTTCTGTGAACATACCCATTTTCCCTCAGGCCTTCAGCCATGCAGTGAAGCATACTATGCCATAAATCAAAAGTCACTCACTAGTTTTGGATAAATATGGCCATAAGCCAGCATCTAATCTTAGCAAGCTGCTCACATAAACTGCGTAGGTGCAACACATGAACGCACATTACTGCTGAGTAGGACATCGTAATCATAGTGATTTAACCACAATGAATTTCAACAGGATATTCATTCATGTACTTCTGTACTTATATAAGATCATTTGAATGTATTTTCAAGAGGGCATGTGTCAGTCTCACAAAGCACAGACCATCTAACCATTACACAACAGCCTTAATCTACTGGATTTAAATCCCCCACCCCTCAACAGGCTGCCAGCTCATACATACAAAAAAGTCTTATCTTGCCTGTGCTGCATCCTGTCACACACTCAGTTTCAAATACATTCCTTGTATTACTGCAGAGGAAAAACATTTTCAACCAGAGACGTCTAAAAGCAACAACAAATATACTCAGGTGTCATTAATAATACACAGTTGATCTTACACTGATCACAGTGCAACAATATTATTTTAATATATTATGATATATTATACAGTTATTTACTTAGACTTGGCTCCACTATTGAGACTACATTTATCAAAGGTTTCAAAGCTCCAACTGGGTAAACATATCATCAGTGGTTTGCTTTAGTGTAGCAGCCGAATCACTAAT